ATGAGGTGGGAGAGGGAAAGTTACCATATACAGGGGCTACCTGGGCTGCCTACCTTCTCCACAGCTCATGTGCACGTTTCTAGCAGAACAATGACTTTTTCTGAACTAAAGCAGAATTCCTCCTGCTGCTACTTTCTCTAATAAGAAGACCTCTCACTCCTCTATTTCATCACAGTCGTGGTAGCCACTGGACTTTTTGTGCCCACAGGACAGTGAAAAGACCTCAGACTTCCTAATCATTTCCCCATCCTTCCCCCCGCCCCGGATTCGGCTCATCCCTTTCTTTAGCCACCGTCTTTTCTTTCCATGAGCCTGTTTTGTTTTCTACCACGTGGTGGTGCTGCAGTTAAAAATACCATGGCGAGAACATAAACAGCAGCACCTGACCATGAGATGGACCGAGAGCTGGCCGAGGGCCGAAGCGTATAGATGGTGAAGTGTGAATTTGTTATGAGAAAACAAGAGGAGCAGCCAAATATCCTCAGATCCTGGCAGCAGCTCCAGCTCAGACTGAGCCCTGACAGAGCAGCTCACACTTCTGAAAAGCAGGCCTGCCGCTCTGGCTACACGGTGGCCCTGACGCTTGCTTTTCAAGAGCCCTGTCGGTGACTTGTCAGGAGACCATGCGCTGCTCCTAACTGCAATAACGGGAGCTGGTGATATCGACTATCAACTCTGCTGCCCAGAAGCGGCTCGCAAAGGTTTCAGCCCAGCATAATCCAAATATAGGCACTCTCAGGCTAACAGCTGTCACCCAACAAGTCCCAATCCAGATCTGACCACAGACAGGCCATTAATTTTATTGAACATCTGAGAACCCTGCCCAACTGTTCAGCCGCAGTTTGAGCCACTGCAAAGGGAGCCCACCAAACCAAGCTCTGCTGCCCCGCCGCCCAAGTTAGCCTGGGCAGCGTACCCCTGGGCAGCCCAGAAAGCCAAAGGAGATGTCACAGAGTCCCAAATACAAACCAGTTCCTCAGCCGCCTTGGAATTTTTCTCCTGACTGTTAGCAGGACTCAAGAACACAGATTCTTCACGGACGGGCCGAGAAACAAGGTAAAAGTTACTATAACTCAAATCCAATCCCCGCACATTTATGATGGACGACGATGTGCCAAGCCATACACCTGTTTCAACAGCTAGCTCCGACTCCGAGCGCTCCAGATCACAGATCTCCATAGCAGTTGTCCAGAGAAGAATCACTCACACTGGCAATGACCTCAGAGTGGCCAAGACCATATAGAGCATGGCTCCAAGCTCTTGGTGCACTGGGGATCAAAGACTGTATTCTCTCAGGTTCGGATATTTTTTGTAAAGCAGCATGCAGGACTATAAACTGCTAGGAGGTTCCTCAGACAGGAATGACAAGGCGTAACTCTGCGCCCTCCCATAATATTTCGATTCTCTCTAAATATCCACAAAACACTTGCTCTTATTCAGGCTCCTGCTTCCTACTTTTTGTTGTGACACCTGGAATATATTCACTAATAGCCAGGGCTGTGGTCCTTTACAATTTCCCTCCAGATGCCCTGAAGGGAAAATACGCTTCTTAGAGCACATGCCCAAGGGCAGCCAGTTCTCTTCCGCCCCGGGAAGGTTTTACTGACCTTAGGAGCCTCTGAGAGACCCTTACTGGAGAACGAGCATTGCTTGAGGATACAAGGTAGAGAAAGAGAGCAATTCTCTCATTTCCAGAAGATTTTCTCTGCCCACAGACAATCCCTTGGGAATTAAAATGTTCTTCAGTGCCCTGAGTACCTGGCCCAAAGAGGAGGGACAGGGTTTGTCCATCAGCCAAAGCCATGCAGCAGTGCCCCAGTGAAAGCAGTGGGAGGACAGAGTCCCATGCACGCCGGCAAAGGAGCAGCTGCCATTCCTGTACACTACTTCCATCTGAAAAGCAACAGCCTCACCCATACAGGTTCTGGGAGGCACCATTTGACTTTTGGGTTAGTTAATAATGTTTTGGGTGCTCTAGAAATCCCCGTGCCCATGCATAGGGCAGATGCTGAGCTGACACATGACTGCAGCTGTGAAAAACCGCCTGAAAGATCCAGCTTCAGTCAGGCAGCAGGGATATTTGGTTGGGTAAAGCAGAACTTCACTCGAAAAAAAAAATTATTAAAGGAAAAGTTGACCTAGAACCCTCCTTGGGGGAAAGGGGCAGGAAATAGTCACGCAGCCAAAGAAAACGAGGATAAACTATTGCCAGGCAGGATTTAGAGATCGTTTAGACTATCTGGAGAAACAACCAAGCCAGGCCAAGCAGGGTGGTGGGATGCTGTCAAGCCAGGCAGAAAAGTGAAGCAATCCATGAGGCCGATTTAAGCAGAGGAATGGCCGGCCAGGGCTGGAGTAGAGGCCGGGGAGCGGGTTACAGCCAGGCTGGGTCAGAGCCAGACAGTGACAGCCATACTCACTCAGGCACTGCAGACCACTTTTATTCACAAGAGGTTTGGCACACAGTGAGCAGCTGGCGCAACTGGAGAAAACCCCTGGCACAAGCTGGTGCCTATTGATCTCTTTCGGCTCCTTTGTCTCTTTCTCCTTCTCTCTCTCTTTTGGCTGCTCTTTGTTCTTACCCTGGAAGGAGAGAAAAACACAGCTCTGTTAGAGGCCTCGCATTGCCCACACATTCCTTTCCCCGCTGGTAAAAAAGAACATGCAGAAAGCTGATCTGCAGCAAGTGCAGCGGGCATCTTTGTGCCCGAACCTTTGGGATGGCAGTGCTTTTCCCAAATGCCTTCCTAAAGCTTGGGCCAGTCCCTCTAGGCCAGGGTCACGCGTGATGAAGGGCAGGACACAGCACTGCAGCACGTGTCTGTGCCTCTGCGGGCTCTCCTCCTCGCCGCAGTGGGTGATGCAGGCAGTCACCCAGCTAAAGCACTCTCTCCTGGTCTGCACAACTTGCGCTAAGACAGCATGAGCGCAGCCAGAACATGCCCTGGAGCAAGGTGGGCTGAAAGCCAGGGATCACTCTGTCCAGTGCATTATGTTAGAGGTCGCAGTGCATCTGCTGACCAATATAGAGGCCTCAGCCATACAAAAGCAATCCAACTAACTGCTCCGTGGGGTCAGATCCCCTTTTCTACTTGAAGAATTCAACAATTCCTTCCACAAATTCAGCATCTCTCTCACCTTATCCTTCTGCCAGGATCCGGTGACTCGGCTCCGCAGGGAACTCAGACGTCGCATCACCTTTGTGCCTTTCTCTGCTTTATCATTCTTTCCACTGTCCTCATTTCTGAAACAAGACCAAAACCATCTTACCTAAGGGAAGGCTACCTGGCAAAGCACAGTTCAGGGAGGTCACTGATGAAGTTAATCTGAAGCATTATTTTAGGACCCCATCTCAGAGCTTTTCATCTCTTGGAGGATCTGGTTTGGCATCAGACATGCTATTTATTAATGGGACACTTGCAAATAAGAACACAGCAAATAAGGAGCTGAACTTTCAAATGATTTGTGCAAGTCCTGGCTGTCTCTGTGGTTTTGTTCAGTGCCATGCACAACAAGGCCGCGATCCTGGCTGAAACACTGCAGATACCAGTGTCCCACACACAGTATTAGCAGGGCAGCAGAGCTTAAATGGAGGGGGGCTTGAAATCAGCCTGCTCTGGGAACACAAAGTTTGTGGGTTACCATCTGGCTCACTTACTCGTTAGACAGGAACTCAAACCAGGTGAGGTTCTGCTGGGAAGAATCATTGCCTTCTGGCACACAAACTCTCTGCTTCGCCCTGTGCAGGAAAAAGACTTCAGACACACAACAAAGAACAGAAGAGCAGAACTTTTGGGTGAGCGGAGAGGCTCATCTTTGGAGATGGGGCAGAAACATATTTAGAGTTACAGAAGAGGCATGTGAAATGCTACTTCTTCTTGCAATTCTACCCTAGTTTCAGTGGAAGAATACAGTGATTGTGGTACCTGGGGGATTTGCCCCTCGGGGGACCATGTGTCATTTGCCAGGTGGCTCCTAGGTGGACCCATGACCTCCCCACCCACATCCCTCTCCCAGACACACTTACCCATGATACTGTTTCAGCTCCTGAAGTACCTGCTGGACAATTAGCCTACCAGGGATGGGGCAAAAGAAAAGCAAGGGATTAGAAAATGTCTTTGCAAAGACATTCTACGCCCCACAAAGCATCAGGCACTGGTTCACAACCAACTACTCAGCTGTGCCTCAGCATGGAGTGGGATCTCCTTTGCTATTGCATCTCCAGTAGCTCAGATATACTGAAAAATCTCTGCCACCTCAAAACAGCCAGGACCGACAATACCTACACATGGTCTGGGGACACGTGGTCCTTCTCCAGCATCTCCAGAGCAGGGGGTTCAACACCTGGAACACAAAAAAAAACAGGAATCCTGGTTTGCCTTTGCAGAGCACCACGTTGCAAGCTATGCGAATGGACCCCGTTAATCTTGCTGGGCTCCCACTCTGCCTTTAATGGGGAGGAAGAAGTGCTGGGAGCAGGTAGGGAGGAAAAGGCTGCACTGTATTTCTGTGAGGGAAGCGAAGGCTACATCACTTTTCTGTGTTAACCCTCCCTTTTCAAGCCCGTATTACATCAACTTCTGAGGATCCTGCTTGCAGCTAGGGGGTAGGAGCTGATACACCCCAGAGCCCCTCCACATGACAGCTTCCCCTCCACTTCCCAGGCCGTGCTCTTAACAGGTCTCTACATTTTGCTCCCGGGCAGTCCTCACAGGTGGGAGACGTTAATGGATTCCAGCAGCACAGAGAAGGCCAAAATTAAGCTTACAGGAGTTAGGGTGCCTCTGTTTTTCTAAGGCTCTTCAGCTTTTGGTGCAGAAACCAGGACCTGGCAGCCTTGTCCCAGAGCCTGCTCCCCTGCTGGCTGTGCAGGGTGGGTTAGTTAAGGATAGTTGGAAGGGGCCTGCACACAGACCATGTTTGCCCCATTTTTTGGGGTACAGGAGAAAGGGCACATTTAAACCCGGGCAGATGAAGCAGTGCCTTTTGTTCCTAGGAAACCGTCTTTGCCTTGTGTGAGTAGGGAGCGATCAATGCACCAGCCACAGAGGGGTTATATGGCAACGTGTCACTGGGAACGGGCACGTCTGAGCTTAGACTACACTGTTAGCCAGGATCAGACTCAAAGTCAGCTTGACTTTTCATTTCAGGAGCTCCTGGGACCATGTAGAAGGGAAGGGCAGAGGGTGTCTAGGCTTGCAGAAGCTACATCTCCAGTTTTTTCTTAATCGCAAACACCTTGAACTCATTTAATGCCATATATAGAGTCTATACCAACCTTCCACAGCTGGAAGAGAAGTGTCGAAACTGCAAGGTATCCGAGGGGAGGCAACTGTCTCGCAGGCTGATGGGACAGACCTTGACCTCAGTCTCTTCCCGTTGCTGCCACATTCCTGGAGAAGTAAAAAGTCATGGACATCTTTGGTCGCTTGTGCACCAAGGGAGCCTTCATCGGGGCACAGCATGGCTGGCAAGGTGCAATGCAGGGAATCTCAAGTGAAGTGCCAGTGATCATCCCTGCTTTCCCACAGCCTCCTACCCTCCGTGCCCGCCCCAAGAGCCTGAGGGCCCTTGCTGCGTGGTTTGATACCTATGGTATATGAGGATTAGATCAAGACCCAGGTCATCACAGGGAACAGGCTGACTCCTCACCCGTTCCCTTTCTTGTTTTGTCAGCGTCATGATGACAGGACACCTTAAAGCCCAGCTGTTTGTTGGCTTCAGGTGTGGGCTCCAGGGAGGGTGGAGCAAGTGACATTTGTGGCTGAAACCTTCTCAGGCACTTCTCACTTTTATAGGATATGTAGCACTGTGATAAAATTGTCCTTTTAATATTAATTGAGGCCAAAGAAATTCCCCAGAGGAAAGCAGTGTGAAAGGGGGGTCACACTGCTGTCTTCAACTACCTGACAGAGGATTATAGAAAAGATGAACCCAGACTTTTCTTAGAGGTACAGAGTGACAAGACAAGAGGCAACAGGCACAGGTTGCAGCAAGGGAAATTCCAACTGGATTTAGGGGAAAAGAGGGCTGTGCATCAGCCAGCTCCCAGGGCCTTTATCCTGGAAGAAGGGGCAGTTTTTCCTGGAGCAGAGAAAGCTGAGATTCCTGCAGACCTCCTGGCATACCTGGTTCAATGCTAACATCGAAGGAGTCCTGCCTGCAGCTGACACCCATGTTTGTCACCTTCTGCACCCCCAGCTTGCCCTGCTGCTGCTATGCATGCAGCCCTCGCACACTCACCGCCTCCTCCAGGCCAGGGCTGACCGTAAGGTGTGGGCGCAACGGCTCTATCTCCACTTTGATCACCATGCCACCCCCGTCGCTGCTCCAGGTTTCCAGTTCCCCTTTGGGCAGCTGAAGGGACACACAAGGCTGCGGGCAGGACCGGCTCCCCTTCTCCACATCCTCCTGTTCTGGGTCGCTGCCCATCTCTGTGGCATCCAGGCTGAACCTAATTCAAGGAAGAGGAACAAGCCAGTTTAGCAGACCCGTCTCATTGTGTCAGGCACGACACAGCCCCTGCCATGTCCTGCCCTTGGGTGGACAGTCCTAAAGAGCTCATGCAACTGGGACAAGGAGGGTCACCACAGCAGGCACGTGGAAAAGGAAATGCCAGGAAGCGTCAGCCTGGACACCAAGTCCTGAGCCTGTTAAAAACAGCTTCTCTGGCTGCCATCAGCGAGTCCACGAGCTCCTTGGTCACCCGGGATGTTTAGTGCCGGACAGCTCTCGCTGATCTCTTAGCAACCCCTGAGACTGTGCAGCCACCCAGACAGCAGCCTGCCCGCCCTGCGCGAGAGCTGCTGCCTTGCTGACGGCAATGCCAGGAAAGTCCCTCTGGGCATTTAGAAATGGCAGATGTTGTCGTTTATCGAATCATCGCTGTGGCATCATGTCATAAATCCTGCTCCCACCAGGGCCCAGCTTTGAGGAAGGAAAAAGAAATCCTTTTCTGGGAAATGAGGGGTGGACCAGCTCCCCCAGTGCCCCACGGTTTCCTGAACGGCGAGTGCTGCCGCAGTGCCAACAACATAGAAGCAAAATGATGGATAGGGCTCAGTGGAAAATCTTACTCTCTGCATGGGTTCTGTCTGCAGATCACTGTGTTTGCTTAGGGGACAGCGGGGCGTATTCCCCTTCCCTGGCCCCGTGCTCACACATGCTTAATCACCCGGCGAGGGGACCGAACAAGCCCCTGACACCGAGAGCCGCTCTGTACCGCTATTGCTCATGTGCCTGTTACACAGCATAAACTGTGAATGATCCACAGCGCATGGAACAACAATAGGTCTGAGACCCAAAGTCTGAGCTTGATGAAGAACTGCCAAGATTTCAGGCTGAGATAATTTTAGGGTACCTTATAAGGAGGAGAGATAAAAATAGTTTTTGCTGGCTTACACCTAACTCCCAGTCATTTGGGAGATCAATACATGTGTCAGCAGGGAAAGCAGGCATGTAGGAAGCTGGAGCCCAAGGCAGGAACACAGCATGGTAGTACTGGCAGTCCTGGAAACCGCTCCCAGCCAAAGCTCAGCATCATGCTACAAAATACACTCTCCTCTGCAGCTATGTGGAGGACAAAGGGCTGGAGGACATGGCGGTGATTGCAGGCAGAGGCCCCACCAAACCCGCTCACAGAAGAAAAAGGAATTGACAGAGGTCTCTCAATCCCTCTGAGGTGGGCAAATTTCCCTTTGAGCCAGAGGGTGGAGGCCATCAGGGCAGCTGATGCTGTTCAAGGCTCCCTCCAGACAGAAAAAAGCTTTCCTGAGATAAGAGATCCTCTTCCCGGCCCCAAGACCAGGAAAAGAGGGTCTTCCTACTGCCAAGGAGACATTAAAACCTCTTGCTGCCTTAGCATCTGTTCCTCCACATCCCACCCAACGTGAGCAGCAGGCGTCCAGCTGCTTTGGCAGAGGCTGACAGGGGAGGGAGACCACCCAGCAGCAGCAAGAGCTCGGGGCAGTGTGATCGCTCCGGCCTCACGCAGCATCATGGTACCGTCTATATAAAATATTGCTCATGGTCCTGCTTTACCTGCGCTTGCAGTCCATGGGCGATAAAGGGCTCTCCCAGCTGTGCCTCCGAGAGGTTGACAAAGATCTCACCAGCGTGGGGAAGGACTCCTTGGCCTCCTGCAGGTCCAGCTCTTTGCTCTCTGCAGGATGCTCAGAAGTGCTGGTACCATCTTCTGGCACCGCTGCACAGGAGCAAACGTGGCCTTTGTTCAGAAAGCGGCAGTCGGCCTCACCGTAACGTACCGAGCAGGAAACAGGATTGGAAAAAGCAACATCCACAGACATTTTTCTCAGAGCCCCTGGCCTCTCTTCCAGTAAGCGAATGGCAGATACAGCCTGGGCTGCTGCTTCTGGCTGTGCTGCCATCTCTGGCGCTGTTTTGGCAATTGGTGGGCTCAGGAGTCCCAGATCTCTGTAATACTCTGTCCCATGGAGAGCAGAGTCTGAGAGGAGATCCTCCGTGCTGCTGTGCAACTCCGCTGCTGGGACATCCAGCTCTGTGGAAGATGAGTCCTCCTGCAAAGGCAGCGACAGCTTAGCCTGAGCGCACAAATCCCGTGCGAGAGCCTTGCAGACATCCTGCGAAGGGGACACCTCCCATGCAGAGCTGGAGCTGCTTTCCTTTCCCTCCTCATGGCAAACAGCCCACCTGCAGCTAGCGGGGCCAGGACTGCTGCTGCGTTTCTCAAACCAGACTTTCTAATAGTAGCACTCTCCTCGTGCACCTCGCGCCTGGACCTGCCCCAGCCCCACCAGCTCGGCTTCCTCCAGTCCCTGAGATCTCTCTGTGCCTTATTCCTCCTAACGCCAATACAAAGCACAGAGGTATGATTTTTCCCAGACGCAGAAGCAATATAACCTTGTATTCCTTGATAGTCTGGATCGGTACCCCTTTTCCCCATCCTTATTCCACCACAGTCCCTCTGCATATGCTGCTGACCACCCAGTTTGCTGATCCTGGCTCCTGCCTCGCGTGGTGGCAGTAGAAGGAAAGAGGACACTTGCCTTTTCTTCAGCCATGCTGGTGCAGAAGGTTTCATCCTCAGCAATCAGGGATGGGAGAAAGCTTTTGGCGTTGGGATACTCCAGAGCAGGGGTGCTGTGGTCAGTGAATTCCCGTAAGCATGGCTTGCAGTCAGACCCTGCAAGACAGAGAAGGTCACAGCATGTGAGCAGGTGGCCAGGGGGGATGTAAAATCAGCCACACACAGAGAGGTGACGTTAGGCATCACTCAGAGACTCCGCATGGCCCTTTGCTCCCTCGCCCCTTGCAGACAGGCACTGCCGGGCAATCTCAGGGCCTCGGCAGCCTTGATCCTGTGGGAACCTGGTGTAGGGGTCCCCTAACGGCAGAAACTTCCTCCCTCGAACCATGGTATGTGCGAGGGCAGAGACCAGGCTTGCACCATCCCAGCCAGACCCTCGTGGGATGCCCTGTGCCGCAGAGGCTGTTTCCACAGTGAAACGGAAGAGTTAAGCACATTTTGAGGGCTGTTATTGACATTATGGACCTTTAAAGCAGGAATCTATGAAAAAAAAAAAAAAAACCCTGACTGATTTATTTTCATCCTTAAGGAATAAAGGATGCTGCTTGGAGGCCAAATTGGAGGTGCGTTACTGACTCCAGACAACGCTGAGTGTGCAGAGCAATAGCGGGAAGGCGCAATTCTCCTGGGGACAGCTCACTTGTGTGGATTTTCCTCACGCAGGAGTGCTAAGCCAGTGTGAACCTGAGTGTGTCTACACCATCCGATAACTCATTGAGAAACAAAAACAAGGTCTGGACGTGCTTCATGGTACAATAGATCGTCCAGCTGACTGAAGCACATTCCTATGCAACGAGACACACTGTAAACGTTAGCCACGATCTCTAAACCATTGCATGACTCACGGAGACCTTTTATTCCTTCGAGATACATACAGCTGAGGCGAAGGGAAAAAAGCCAGGCTGTTGGCTGAAACACAGTGGTGGATCTCTGAAGATGCAGAGAACAATAGCAAGAGACTGTAAGTGGCCATATCTGTCCAGTGAGAAAAAATGGCAAGAAACTGCTAGAAACCCATCAGACTCCAGGAAAGCCAAGTATAAAAACATTAATATGAGGAAGATATTGTTAAAAAACACACGCTTGGAAACCTTGCATCCTGCTGCGGGCTTTAATGCTACACAATGCAGCCAGAAATTGCGTGGTGCCAACTGGAAAAAGGCAGCAGACGTGAGGGAGAGTTTGGAGGTTTGTTCCTTGGATCCTGCTGCACACTGCCAGTGCCAGATTTTCTGTTTTAAGGAGTGTTCGGTGTGTTTAAATGTGTGAAGTAATTTCAAGTGAGGGTCTATAAACAATATAGAAAGAAAACACTCCATGAAGGCACTATTTTAATTAAGGGGTTTCCAGCTATAAGAGCAGGGAAGATTTGAAATGGGCTTTCTACAACTACAAGGTTATAGAATTTACTTCTCAAGACATTTCTAATTAATAGACAAATTCCTGCCCAGGATGCCCTTGAGCCACATCTGTAATGCTCTATCTATAAAATTGGCAGAGTCTTACTGAGCCATTGAACATCACCTTTTGCTTTCCTCAGATGCACCTGGATTGCCTCTAATCATCTTGTAGTCAAAAATCAGCATTTTGAAGCGAATTCACATTTGAATCAGCACAGATTTTGGCATGAGCTTGTGGGAAACTGAGCAGCCAAAGATGTCAGTGGGCTGTAAAAACCACTGAACCCCCAAAACAGGCCGGGAGGAAGGCTAAGGTAGAAGGGACCCAAGGGGAGCAACCGGGTGGTGGGGAGGGTGGCAGGGAGACCAGGACCTCATACAAGCCCAAGAAAGGAAGGAAAAGGAGATTTCCCTGCCCTCGCCATCCCTTGCAGCGGCGAACTACCCGCAGAGGAAGCAGCGAAGCCCTGAGAGGCGGCAGGGGTGTAGCTGCGGTAGATGACAAGCGCTGTGGCCTGACAGAGGCCAGAATCCTAGCCCGCAAGTTTAGCTAAAACAAAGAGTTTTTTTCCTCCCGAGCATGGTCCGACCGTCCTGCCAAGGCTACTCTGGGCCTGCCCCAGGCTCCAGGCTGAAGCTCTGAAGTGGATCCCTGGAACAGAGTCAGCTCCTCGGAGGCCTGGAAAATATTCCCTGTGCTCTGCCTGTGCCATGCAGGGCTCAGGATTTGGCCAAGGCATAGGCTGCAGTCAACAGACCCCCTTCAGGCCCACAAAACGACTTAGAACCTCCTCGGAGTCTTCAGACACTCCCGTTCAACACGCGATAAATCAGGTTTGCAGCCAGCCTCCGGTGAACTCAGCGGCAGCGGCCGTTAGGCAGCAGCACGCGGTGCGCAAGGGGCTGCGGTGATGGGGAGACCATTTTAGGCAATGTGTGAGCACCAGCCATGACAATTCAGGGCTCCCCGCATCCAGCGCCTCGGTCGGTTGGCACCATGTATAGAGCAGAGTTGTGCGGCCGCTTGGGCAAGGGGGGCTGCTGGAGGGGCTCACGGGGGAAAACACGCTTTCAGGCATCATATTCTGGCAGGATGAGCAAGGAAAGGCCAGCATGGAGCATGGACAGGAGGGAGGCGGGTTGGAGGGGCTGTGAACATCCCTATATCCGTGATTGAGGTGGTCACCTCGAGTATGGGAGCCTCTCGAGTCTCCCGGACTCCACGCTTGAGCCTGTTTGGAAGGACCCATGTTCCATCTAGCTGTGGTGTAGTGGTAAGGGGACAGGACGTCTTAGCTCCCCAGGCACTGGCAGACAGCAGCGACCACCTTTACTCCGCTGAAGCTGAAGATGGGACGACAAAATGACACTTTCAAGAACGTACGCTGTTTGCTTTAGGGGAACATTAAGCAGATTAGGTATTGCAGTTGCTTAATTCGTCTCTGGCTGGGAACCATAAAAGGTTATTGCTGCAGGGAACAGCCTCATCAGAGGAATTCCCAGGGCAGAGCTGGGGAGGAAGCGTCACTGCCTGCGCCGGGCAGGTCCCTGCGCACCAGCGGGGCTCTGCTGCACTTTGCCAGAACTTCCCGGCAGGCGAAACATGACAACTCTGGGCTTCTGCGTGGGGAGGAAGGAAGTAGTGACAGGCATCCACTGCATGTGACAGTCTGGGACACTCTCGGGGTTTTTGATGCCGTGGGGACAGTGGGATCAGCCAGCTGAGCTGGTTTGTCTCAAGGAAGGAAACTCCATGCTGCTGTAACTGCGTGCAAGGCCACTGGGAGCCCAACAAAGATTTAAATACCTCAATTTCAGACCTACACTCGAAACCTCTCTCCTGCAACTGCCTCTGCTGATTTCCCTCAGAGGGACCGGTCACTGGAGATGCACCCACAAGTGCCACAGCAGGAGACAGCACCGGAGCAGCCAGCGCTGGAACAAGTTCTGCCATCATGGCCCGTCCTCACCTGCCTGTTCTGCTGCTCGGCGCAGGATGCTGCAGGTCCCCGAGCGACCCTGGAGCCAGGCTGGCGCTGGCGAGGGGAAACGTCGGAGGAAACATGGATGTGAGCTGTGGCCATGCAGATCACATCCTCCAAGCATCAAACACTCTCTGCATTTCCACTGGGGAAAGGCCACACCAAACGCGGTGGGACAAAGGCACTGGTCAGTTCTGCTACATGAAACAATCCCATGAGGAAGGAAAGAGCAGAGCGTCTGGGCATTTCCCAGCAATCGGGTAGAGACTGTTGGGAAACCACGGAGAGCATCACATGTGAGAAACAAGAATTATTCCGTCGTCTCGTGGCTCCTGCCCTGCTGGCCCCCCACCAGCTGCCCTTTACCTACCGCCCTGCAGCATGTCCAGAGCTATAGGGTAAAACCTCTGTAAAGCAAGTGCTAAACTCGCTGTGCCAAAATTGTTTGAAGTGCAGTCCTTCGCCTGGTCTGGGCCCCACATCGTCGGCCGTTGGCAGCGGTGGGGATTGGCTGATGCGGCCGGGGCTGGAGGAGGGGAGAAGATAAGCTGCCCAACACTGTAACATACTGTACAGCGAGCTGCTGTCTTATCACTGTGTTTGGGGCCTGGGCTTGGGGCACAAAGGGCCAGAGGAGCGGGGAGCCAGAACGGTCCTCAGCTCACTGTCAGCTGAAGGGTCTCGGCAGGGCTGAGAGGGATTTGCAGCCCTTTGGGTACTCTCCAGGTCACAAGAGTCACTGTGCGGCTTCCTCCAGTGACTTTACCGGGCACCGAGGGAACGTCCTGCATGGACCAGCGAGTGCCACGGTGCAGAAAGCGAGCACCCGGAGAGGAGCTGAGCGGGAACTGAACGTTTTGTGCCCACAGCACAAGCCCCAGTGGGAGAAACTGCTCTGCGAGCACACGCTGGGGGAAAAAGGCTCTACCGAGACACTCTCCAAAGCCATCACTGCTTGCGAGCACTGTGAGGCTGATTTATTTATTATAGAAATTAGCCCAACCGAGTATAGTTATGGATATAATTAGTCCATAACCGCCCCAGCAGGCACAGCACTGGGGAGGGTGGAGTGGGGTGTCCTAGCCGGGGCTCAGGGAAGCTGCTCGGGGCTCATGACAGATCAGAGCCTGCATGACCCGGCCTCCCGCTTGGAATTAACCTTCCTTTCACAATTCAGTTTGAATCTTGTGCACATCTGCAT